CTTTCCTTCTGATTGTGGTGACGTCTACCCGGCCGCCCAATCCAGTTCTTCTCGCCAGTGTTTTTTTTGTTTCTGGGATGCTGTTGTAAATAAAGCCCCTGGTCAATCTCTGCCGCGTGTCGCCACGGAGTGCACAAGTGATCCAAGAGTTGTTGCGGTCGTAAAAAGTATGTCACAAGACAAGCCCGCCGAAGGCATCCGTCGATGCTCGATCGGCGTGAAGTGGGTGGGTCGCGGGTGAGTCGCGGCGCGGGTCGCGGGTGGGTCGAGAGCGGGTCGCGTGGGGGGGGGGACGATAGCAGCACCAACAGCAACAGTCATTGTAAGGTCAGTCGCCCTTCGCTGCTCGCGTGCCGTGTGTCATTCATGTGTGCCACAGGCCCCCGATACCCGCCTTCTGCGTCTCCGATCGCACCCCCATTTGGGGTATACTTTCCTTGCTTGCCACGTGCAGTTGCGCGGCCCTTGCCGTGGGAGGAAGACGGAAGAGGATAACGGGAAACATCATCGAGGGGAGGGGGCACAGCGAGAAGGGCGAGGAGGCAAACGGAAGGGAGGATATTGAGGGCGAGGGAGGCGTGGGAGGAAGGGGGAAAGAGAGAGGAACCATCGTTTCGGCAGGGTGGCCCTGACGGGCGGGTCGGGTGGGCCGGCCCCGACGGGCGGGTCGGGTCGGCGGACGGGCGGGTCGGGAGCGGCTGGGCGTGTGAGCGGGCGGGCAGGTCTCCGATCGTGTGGACGGGCAGACCCCACAGGGAGGGTCGGGTGGGCGGGCCCTAACGCTATGATGTTCCAACCCACTTTGGCCTTGATCGCCGAGGACCAGAAAAGTACCGAAACTCTTGGGGTTTTCTCGCTTCGGGCCCCGGGAAACACTCGTCCGACACGGTTTCGGCACTGACTCGACGTTTTCTTGGGTGCTCGGAACTATTTCTGGGATGTGGTCTTCAAGCACGATGGGGGGAACATTCCTCCTCCTCCTCCTCCTCCTCCTCCTCCCCCTCCTCCTTAAGCCTAACAGTGCGGTCGGGCGGGACACTGAAGCGGGCGGGCGGGCTGCAACCGAGCGAACAGGTGGACCCTGACGGGCGGTGGGGCAGGCAGATCCTCACAGGCGGGGATCTGGCTGGCGGGCCCTGACGGGCGGGTCGGTCGGGCACGGCAGCACAGCGAATTGCAGTCGCGGAAAAGCTCCGGGGAGAGCACGAGGCCAGAGACAACTGCGAGGGAGTCTTCGGCGAGAGCACCATTCCTGGGCGTCGAGAGCGCAGCGCCGCAGGCAATTGCAGGGATGTCCTGGGCAAGAGCGCGTTGCTCAGGTTCATTGTCAGGAACCCTCGAGCGAGAGCACGGTTGCAAATTAAATCAGAGGAGGTATCAGGCAGGAGCCGGTGTTGTCGTACAACGAGGCCAGAGGGCATTGATATGAAAAAGGGGTCCAGCCTCAGCGGGGGGGACGTTCTTTCGAATCGTGCAAAATTGGGGGGACGGGGTCAACAAGAGCTATGGTCCAGAAGTGGGGCTCAACAACAACAACAACACCGGCAATCATCTTAGTATTGTTTGATCTCATAGGCTCGTGTGTCATTCAACATGTACCTCCCAAAGCTTCGACACCCGGCATCGTCGTGCTTGATCGTGCCACCTTTTGGTGTATGTTTTCTTTCCTTGCCAAGTGCGGGTAAGATTTTTCGCAGCCTTTCCCACGTGAAGGACACATCTCCTGGGCATGGGAGAGCGACGAGGAAGGGAGTGGAGGATTGAAAACGGAGGAGGGCAGCGGGTAAGAGGAGCCCCGAGAGAGCGACTCGTGAATACATCATACAGTCGGCCCGGATTAGTAGGCCGATCCTGCCAACTCAAGGGTACCCTTGTGTTTTGTGCCTCGCGACACGTGCCTTCTTACTCCTATGGTTATGTGGCCCTCGGAAGGGTCTTGTGTCCTCTCGCGTGTTCTGTCCAATCAAGGCCGTCTGAAAGGAGGTCGTAGGCGAGAGCGCGATTCCTGGAATCATTGCAAGGAAGTTTGTCGCCGAAGCCCAAGTCCCCCATAAGTGGTTAGGAAGTTGCAGGCGCCAGCAATTGTTGTGGTAAACTGGGTACATCGGCACAGTCTGAGGCGCAATCCAGAGCAAGGTAAGAGCTCCGGGCGCGGAGCCTCAATCGAAAAATGACCATGTGCACTGGAGGAGGCGATCAATCGAAAACAACAACAACAACAACAACAACAACAACAACAACAACAACAGCAGCAGCAGCAGCAACAACAACAACAACAGCAACAACACTCATTTTAAGTTTGTTCGTTTTTATCTGCTTGCGTGCCATTCAACGCGTGGATCCCAAACCCTCGATACCCGCCTTCTTTGTCTTCGTCCGTACCCCTTTTAAGGGTATTTCTGTCTTACCTGCAACTTGTATTTCGTTCAGCCCTAAGGCAGGAAAACAGAGGACGGATGGAAAGAAGGGACAAGGGACAGGCGAGTCCCTTAAGCGTGCTCGAGCGATCGCGCGACTCCCACACCACAGCGAGAGCGTGATTCCTGAGTGTCGAGGGCGCGGCGTCTGAATAAATGGTGGTGGGGACATCCCACGCGAGAGCGCGAGTCCTGTAGCGGAAGTCCCGACGGAGAGCGCGATTTCGGAATCATTTGTGAGGAAGTGTCAGGCGGGACCCGTTGTTTTTGTTAACCGGGGGCCAGGGGCCCAGTTTGGTGATATCTAACCTTCCCGTGTTAAAACAGGGTGCGAGCCCCGGGAGAAGCATTTGAATTAAAATTTCAATGGTTACCGTAGTGGGGGACCAACAGTACTTCTCATTGTTTAGTTAAGAGATTGTAAGACAAAAACAGTCAAAACAACAATCACAACAACAACCTTTACTACTACTACTACTACTACTACTACTAACTACTACTACTACTACTACTACTACTACTACTACTACTACTACTACTACTACTACTACTACTACTACTACTACTACTACTACTACTACTACTACTACTACTACTACTACTACTACTACTACTACTACTACTACTACTACTACTACTACTACTACTACTACTACTACTACCTACACTTACTACTACTACTACCACTACTACTACTACTACTACGACTACTACTACTACTACTGCTACAATTGCTACAACTGCTACAACTACAACTACAACAATCAGTTTGTGACAAGTCGCTTTTATATGCTCGAGTGCCCTTCAATATGTATGTCCCAGACCCTCGATACCCGCCCCCTTCGTCTTCGCTCGCACCCTCTTGGGTCTATATCTGTCTGACCTGCAGCGTGTATTCCGTGCAGCCCATCAGGCAGGGGAGGAGAGGACGAATGGAAGGAGTGGACAAGGGACAGGCGGGTTGCTGAAGCGTGCGTCCTGCATGGATCGCGAGGAAGTCTCGAGCGAAAGCGCGATTCCTCAATACGTCGAGAGGAAAAATCAACAGCGAGGGCGTGATTCCTGAGCGTCGGCGGCGCGGCCCTCGAACACATCGCAGGGAAGTCCCGCTCGAGAGCGTGGCTCCTGTAAGTATGCGCTGCGAGGACGCTTTCCGAGGAGGTCCCGTGCGAGAGCGCGATCTCGGAGTGAGCTGCGGGGAAGCGGGGAAGTCTCAGGCGGGAGCCGTTGCTCGTGTAAATCAGGGTGCAGGGGCACAGTTCGGTGGCATCTCAGTTCCCCTTCTAGAAGGCAAGGTGCAAGCCCCGGTAGCAACACTTCAATTACAAAATACAAAGGTGACCGAAGAGTGGGGCTCAACAGCACTTATCCTTCAGTAGTGAGGGCTGAACAATAACAATATCAATCATTTGAAGACTGTTCCCTCTTATCTGCTCGCGGGCCATCCAGCACGTGTATCTCAAACCCTCGGTACCCGACCTCTTCGTCTTCGTTCGTACCCCCTTGGGGCTACATATCTTTCTTATCTGCACGTGTATTTCGTGCAGCCCCTAAGGCAGGGCAAGAGGGGACAGTTGGACAAGGGGGAGGGACGAGGGTGGAGCACGAGAGAGGGAGAGAGTAGCCGTCGGGGGCTAGGCGCAGAAAACACGTGGCAGAACCAGACGGGCAGATCCGGCGGGTACACCCTAGCGGGCGGGTCGGGAAGGCGGGCCAAAGCGGCCAGGTCGACCAGGCAGGTCATCGAAGCGTGATTATTGTATGAATCGCAAGAAAGTCTCCAGCGGAAACGCGATTCCCAAATACATCGTGGGGAAATCCACCGCGAGAGCGTGATTCCTGAGTGTCGAGGGCGCGGCGTCTGAATGAATTGCAAGGCAGTCCCACGCGAGAGCGCGACTTCCGTATAAATGGTGAGGACATCCCGCACGAGAGGGCGATTCGGGAATCATTTGTGAGCGAGTATCAGGCAGGAGCCGTTGGTGATGTTCGGGGCCCAACAACCCAGTTTGGTGAAATTTCGATTTCCCTGGTTTGAAACGGGGAAAGCACTTCAATTGAAAGATGCAATGTTCACCGGGCAGGGGGATCAACAATTATTCGTCGGAGGGGAGAATCTAACAGCAACAACAGCACCAACAAACAAATTAGCATCACCCAGGCTAGGTATTCCCACTTCACCCAGGCACTCGGGGACGGTGTGAGCCTGTTCGGCCCCATCACTCTGGTAACGGACTCTGGCCCAGACCGATCCGGTTCCGTCCTCTTCTTCCATCTTTCTCCTGTCCTCCTTCCCCTTCTCCCCTGCCGAGTATGAGTGTGCAAATGAGCTGGGCGCAGATTGCTCCACAGGTTAGTCAGACTTGTTTCTTCCAGAAGATGATGGCAGCCTGCAAGCTCACAGGTGCGTGCGCCATCACTGAACGAGCACATGCTCGAGTGCTGGCCTGAGCATGGTGCCGTTGTGCGCCCTGGCGTGGCGGATCCGACCCGATTCGGGCGAGGTTCGGGCACGGTGCGTCCCGATTGCGATGCCCGCTCCGATCCAGTACTATGTACGAAGCCGACCGGCCCCCCCGGGAGGCCGACCGCAACTGGAAGGAGCTGGACCGCAACGCGGACGGGGAGCTGTCGTATTTCGAGCTGCGGCCGCTCCTGAAGGCGAGCCTCGTCGCCGCCGTCGTCGTCGTTGTCCTCCTCCCCATTCATGATTCTCTCCCCTCCTCCCTTCTACTCCATCTCATCCCACGCCTCCCCCTCCCCCTCCCCTCCTCCCTTTTACTCCTTCTCTCCCCTCCTCCCTTATACTCCCTTCTACTCCCCTCCTCCTCATCCATTATTCTCTCCCCTCCTCCCTCTCCCCTCCTCGCCTGCAAGACTCGTGCAGCAGGTACAGTGCGATCGTACCAGCTAGGCGGCTGAAGAGTGGGCCAAGGTGGTCCGATAGTCTGCCGACTACCGCCGGCGGTTCCAGATGAAGTGCCGCCTACCCCAGCAACCCTAGGGTGCGCATGTGTACAATGTCCAAGCATGTGTCATGACCCGTCGCACTGATGGCAACGAGAGTTCTTGTCTACCCCCTTCTGTCCTCCTTGTTTTTCCTCCTCCTCCCCCTCCTCCTCCTCCTCCTCCTCCTCCTCACGTTCCCTCCCCGCCGAGGCCAACCTCGAGTTCGCCTCCTCGGACATCGAGAGCGACGGCGTCTACACGCTGCTGGCGGCGCTGGACAAGAACTCCAGCGGCTTCGTCGAGAAGAGCGAGTTCATCGAGGCCATCGGGCGCGGGAGGCCGGCGCGGGGCCGAAGCCCTCCCACTGCGGGGTGCCCGCAGCCGGAGCTTATGTTTCAGGAGGGGAAAAACACACAGACACAATTCATCGTCGATTCCCTAGAAAATATAGGAAAATATTAGAAGAAGTGGGGGGGAAGACGAAAATTACAAAATTATGGGAAAATATGGGGGATATTTTTTTATGTGTGTGTATTTTTGTGTGTCCCAGGGCCCCTTCAATGTTGAACCTACGCTGCGGGAGAAGCCACGCTGCGTCCTACTCGGGAGCCTCGAGACGGGGGTCAATGCAAACGGGGGTCAGCCAGAGCGCACGAGCTTGCAAAATCCTGCAGGGCCAGGGTCGCATTGACCCGGGTGTGGGCGCAGGATCATGCAGGATCCTTCGCGTTGACCCGGGTTTGGGTGCAGAATCTTGCAGGATCGTGCAGGATTTTGCAAGGCACGTGGCCCTCGGAAGGGTCTTGTTGTCCTCTCGCGTGTCCTCTCCAATCAACCCCGACTGTATCTTCCCCGCGCTCCGCCGCAGCTCATGGGGACCAGCAGTGGCACCGATTTGCCGCTGTCCGTCCCTCGTCGCCCGCGGCGGACTTCGGCTCGAGCTCCTGCGTCTGGGCGCCTGCGCGCTGCTCGGCCGAAAAAACCGGGACGACCGTCGCAACAAAAACCAAAAACCAAAAACCCGAAGGGTCGCAACAAAAACCCGAAGGGTCGCAACAAAAACCCGAAGGGTTGCAACAAAAACCCGAAGGGTCGCAACAAAAACCCCGGGTTGCAACAAAAACCCAAGGGTTGCAACAAAGGGTTGCAACCCTTCGGTTTTTGTTGGTTTTTGTTGGTTTTTGTTGCAACCCTTGGTTTTTGTTGCAGCCCTGGGTTTTTGTTGCAACCCTTCGGGTAATTACGGAAAGAATGGATGCGATGCGCAACAGCAGATCTTGTTCCTTTGAACAGGACTCGCTATCCGCGTTGCCGCGGACGTTATTCATTGACGACAGACAGCCGCCTGTCCGACAGCGGCCGCTGTCGGTCTTGGCTGGGCACTGTATCAATTGTTCCGTACCCATTTCGGGCTTCCAAAAAATCAAACAAACGACACCACCCCACCTACGGCCCTCCATGTTTCTAGGCCTCCCAGATGGGGTCCGAGCGGATTGGGTCGGAGGATCGCGACGCATCACCGAGGCATCGCCGATGCGGCTCGATGCGGAGCCCGATTTGCCTCATGTCGACGTCGCCGATGCATCGACGACGTCGACGATGCATCGTCAGTGCATCGCCGATGCATCGCCGATGCATCGGCGATGTATCGGCGATGCGGCGCGATCCTTCGACCTCATCTACTCCGACCCCATTTATGATGCCTCTAATGTTGCTCTACGGCCCATCGGGCCACGCAAAAGCCCACGCTACATTATAGACGCTTCGCGTAACCCCACCAGCCTGCCTACCGCTCCCTGTCCGCCGCCTCGGAGCCGCCGACCAACAAAAAGTAACCCCACCAGCCCATCCAGAAACGATGCCCAGAGGAATTGCTCGATCAGGGAAGTGGGCAGCACACAGAGGAAGGGTCCCCCAGTGGATGTCTCTTGGAGCGTGTTGGGGGCCTCTTGGCGGCCCTGGACGCCTCTTAGAGCGTTTTGGGTGCCTCGGAGAGCTTCTTGGGGCCTCTTGGGGGTCTCTTGGGAGCCTCTTGGAGGCCTCTTGGGCGCCTGTTGGAGGCGTCTTGGGGCCTCCTGGGCGCCTCTTGGGGCCCTCTTGGAGCGCTCTTGTGGGCCTTGGGAGCGCTCTTGGAGCCCTCTTGGGCCACCTTAGAGCCATCTTGAAGCCTCGGATGGCCATCGGAAGCGAAAAGGCGAGAACGCCAAAAACAGTGATTTCCCTAAGGTTTTGGATGGATGTTGACCTCTTCGGGGCCTCCTGGGGGAGCTCTTTGGCCACTTGGAGCCGTCTTGGAGCGGTCTCGGGGCCTCTTGGAGAATCGTGGGAGCCATCTTGAGGCATCTTGGGATAGCTTGAGCCATCTTGGAGGTCATCTTTGGCTCTCCCAGGCGCTCTTGGAGTCATCTTAAGCAGTGCCCCCCCCAGGAGGCCAACATGTGGCCAAAACCTTAGTCAAACCAATGATTTTGGCATTGTCGCCGAGGCCTCTTGGAGCGTCTTGGGTGCCTCTGTGGGGCCTCTTGGGGCCTCTTGGGGGTCTCTTGGGAGCCTCTTGGGGGCATCCTGGGGGCGTCTTGGGGGCCTCTTGGGGCTTCCTGGCCACCTCTTGGGGCCCTCTTGGGGTCCTCTTGGGGCCCTCTTGGGAGCCTTGAGAGCGCTCGTGGGGCCATCTCGGAGGAGATCGATCAAAGAAAGAGGGGTCTCAAGCTGCCCCCCCAAGAGGCCAAACTTGGGCCAAAAACATTGTAAAACCAATGATTTTTGATTCCTCGCCGAGGCCGTTTTGGACGCTCCGACCGCTCGCGAAACGCACCGTCCAGGTCCAGGGAGACGGGGTAAGGTGAGGGGTCAAGACTCCCTCCCCGCCCGCAAGCCGTCTCGCTCACTCCCACCCGCCCTCCCAACACATACGTAGCACCCGAGTCTGGCCCGAGCCTTAGCATATTCAGCAGTCGTCTTTGGATGGGCAGCTACTGGGGGCAAATCCGCCGCCGCCGCCGCCGCGTCCGCGTCCGCCGCCGCCGCCGCCGCCGTCGTCGTCGCCGCCGCCGCCGCTGCCCGCCATCGCCGCCGCGCAAATGCCGCCGCCGTCGCCGCCGCCGCCGCCGCCGCGCCGCCCGCCGCCGCCGCCGCCGCCGCCGCACCCGCTGCCAAATTTCCGCCGCCGCAGCCGCTGCCGCCGCAGCCGCTGCCGCCACCGCCGCCGCCGCCGCCACCCCCGCCGCCGCCGCAGCCGCCGCCGCCGCCGCAGCCGCCGCCCCCGCCGCCGCCGCCGCCACCGCCGCAGCCGCCTCAGCCGCCGCTGCCGCCGCCGCCAAGTGTGCTCTGCATTGTTTTTTGACAGGGATGGCGGGGGGAGGCCGCACGGGGTTGGCTGCGCATGTTCCGAATTTGGAGTAAGAGTGTGTTTTGCATTGTTCTTTGTGCGACAGATGGTGGGGGGGTGCCCGCATGGTTCTGGGTTGGCTACCGGTCGCCTGGGGGAGGGGGTGTTTATCAATAGGGAGCAGTGATAAACCCCTCCCCGAAAGGGAAAAGGGGGGCGGAACAGGACACGCCCTAAACCACCTACGCCCTAAACGGTTGGTGGGATCTCCTGGTAGACGCTAGACCCCCTGGGGCCGTAGGTGGGGTGGTGTTGCTCGTTTCCTGGTCCGCCTGTTTTCCTGTGCCCAGGTGGAATGTCGCCCTCCATCTGGGCACCCAGAATGGAACAACAGCCAGATGGGCTCCCACCCCGCGGTGTTCTTTGATTGTTTTTCCGACTCTTAAGTCAGGCACGCCCCCCTACAGGAGGAATATTCAAGTATATTCAAAAATAGCCATGGCACCATTTTTATGTTTTTTTCCTGGTTGACGACTATTGAATTTTCTTCCAAAGCCCGCCCGTGGGAGGACATTCCCGACCTAACGCTACTACTCTTTCGAAGGTTGTTCGCCATCCTCGGCCTCTCTCACATCCCCTGGGGCATGTTTCAATGCGAACCGTGTCTCGGTTTTTGCGGCGTGCCCCGAGGGAGTGGTACGAGAACGCTAACCGGACGAAGAGACTCACCACCAGGGACGAGACCGAGGCGATCGACCAGTGTTGGGGCTTCCTGCACAGCGCCATGCGGACGCTCGCGTCAAAGCACACGTCCGTCTCGACGCTCTTCAGGCTCCCAGAGCCCTAGATCAGATGCAGGGCGCAAGAGAGTCGCGCTTCGCGCGTCGCAAACTGGGCCAGAGAGGCTGCCCTGTTCCAGTGGCGGGCGCAAGGGCGTACGGGCGCGAAGATAGTCGCGCATCGTGGGTAGCGATGCGCGTAATTAGATGGCCTTGGGCCCACGGTGCCACTGCTCTAGCCGCATCTCGCGTTCAGGGCCACTGCGCCCTGAAGCGCTAGGCTAACGCAGCTTGCGTTTTCCGGTCTGTCTCCGACCCTTCGTTTCGTGTCTGCGCCGGTTGTGGATTTGGGCAGAAAGAGAAAGGCTGGAGTTTACGATGTACAAACAAAGCATGGATCAGCCGCGGGACTCTCAAGCAGGGATGGTGAATAAACAGTGCGGCCAGCGAGGAAGGATCTAAAACCAGTCAGTCTTTTATGATCTTTCTGTTGCTGCTCCTCTACCTCTTCCCTCTCTCCTCCCTCCCAGGTTCCTGGACACCAGCCGTGACGGCGTACTGTCCCGCGACGAATTCATGTCCGGCCTGAAGGTTTCGGCCACGCGCAGAGGGGGGTAGAGGGAGGGTGGAAGATTTCTTAGAAGGAGGCTGCTTTTTAGAAGGCGCGGTCCTTACTTATAAATGTAAGGCCCGCGCCTTCTATGAGGCCACCTCCTTCTAAGAGGCCTTCCCCCCTCCCCCTACCCCCCCTCTGCGCGCCGCCAAAGGTTCTGCTGAACGGAGACAAGCAGTTGACGGACTCGATGAGCAACTGGGAGCCTCTCCTGTGGACGCTGATCGACCGGGACGGCAGCGGTACTGTGTCGCTCGAGGACGGGCTGGCCGTCAAGTGGTCTTTGTCATGCAGGGCTGGACCTAAACGCTCTTTTGCTGGACTTCGGCTGTGTTTTGTTTTTCGTGTTGGCAGGGAGGTGCAGGAGAACAGGTAAGGCAAGCCGAACAACAGAACGACAGCAAAACGAACAACAACTTTTAGGTCCGGGCCTGCTGTCATGGGCCTTTGCCTAGCGAGCCTCGGCCACGCGCAGAAAGGGGGGGTAGGGAGATGGGGGAAGGCTTCTTGGAAGCTCCCCTGCTTCCCAGAAGGCGCGGGCCCCTGTCTGCAGATGCTGGGGGCCGGCGCCTTCTACGGAGCAGCCTCCTTCCAAGGAGCCTTCCCCCCTCCCCCTGCGCCCTCGTGCGCGCCGCCACGAGTCAGGAGGGAAAAACACACAGACACAATTAACCGTCGATCCCCAGGAACACATGGGAAAACATGGGAAGTGGGGGGGAAGACAAGAACCCAGAACAGATGGGAAAGTGTGGGGCATCCTGTCACTTGTGTGTATTCATTTGTGCGCCCTCGGGCCCCTTCAGAGAGTCGCTCCTGCCTGTTCTGGCCCACCACGCTCCCGTACGACACGTGATCTGTGGCCACGTGTCCAAGCGTCAGCGTCCCGAGCACTTCCCGGCCTCCCGCCCCGCGAAGCGGAGCGGCGACCCTCCACGAGTCAGGGGGGAAGAAACACGCAGACGCAATGAATCGTTTCTTCCCGGGGAGATTTGTGAATCTGGGAAGTGGGGGGGAAGAGGAAAGTCAGAAACAAATGGGAAAGATCTTGGGAATCCTGGGAGTTGTAGGTACAGTGGGGGCGCGTGCCAAGAAACCAGGTTGGATTCTGTCAGGGTTCCCTGAGTTTCTTGGATTTCGATGGCCCCCCAATCAGATCTTTACGATTTTCGATCGACGACTTTGGATTTTCACCGAACAAATCGC